GCTGTCTTTCTGCCACACCCCAGATCTTCTGGTTGGAAAGATCTACACCTAGCCTTCTCGGACAAGGGCGAACAATCTCGGAGGGCCCGTGTGCAAATTGCGCATGCCAAAGATCCCCTGGTGGTCTAAAATCGATAGGAGTAAGCTTCGGCCGCCACCCGGGCAAAATTCAAAATTTCCTACCAACTAAAAGTATTAGGTGTGTCCCGAGCGCTCATATGACCTTACGCAGTTGCGAACGCCGTAAAAACCCTCTACTAAAAAAATGTTTTTTGAAAGTCCCTGAACAATGTCTTTGGACAGTGATAAGATTTGTATATATTCTATTTTACTGCGCTCGGCCGGGTAAAATATAGAGTTTTACTCCACACCCGTTGAACAGGCAAAAACCTTTTTCATGATGTGTAAAATGTTCAAAGTTTAAGACCCGAACTAAAATAGATCTAGATCTATATCTACACAAATAAGAGAAAATAATTTTAGCAAATCAGTATAGAGAGATCTAGGTTAGCCTAGAATCTAGATCTATTGTGTAGATTACGTCATACGGTTTTGTTCTGGGTTTTTGTTGGAGAAAAATGGAATACGGGGGAGATGAGGTCTTCTGTGTTGCTGATTTCTTTAGCTTTTGAGTTTATGCAGAGTCTAGATCTAGATATAATCTAGATCTAGATCTAGATTTAGATTTATGACGTTTTTCTGTGATTATGATTTCCCCCCCGTACGAACAGCTGTTCCGTGTGTGTGTGTGTGTGTGTGTGTGTGTGTGTGTGTGTGTGTGTGTGTGTGCTTATTCCTTTCGGGGAAAGGGGCGGGGGTGTATTTGGTACGATACGGAAGGGCGAGTGGATCTTTCCAGTTTAGGCTTGTCCACTTAGCTGAATTCTTTTTAGGCGATATTTCGACATGCATACATGCATTAGGCTACTTCTAGATCTATACAGAGATCTATGCGCTTTTAGTCGCTTTTTCGGTAGTTCCCACCCCGCAATTGTTAGGCCTATTCGATATATAAATCTAGATTTCTAGATCTAGAATCTAGATTATATCCATTTTTTTCTAAGCTAAGGTGTGTGTTCTTCTAGGTATAGATCTAATCTAGATTCTAGATCTAGACTAGATATTTAGATCTAGATCTAGATCTAGATGACAAAATGCATTCAAAAGCTAAAAGTGACGTTTTTCCCCTTAGCATTAGATCTATATATCTAGATCTAGACTAGATCTCTAGATCTAGATTTAGATATAATATAGAATCTAGATTCTAGATCTTGATTCTAGAGTCTAGATCTAGATTTCTAGAGATAGAGATCTAGAATCTAGATCTAGATCTAGATCTAGAATCTAGATCTAGAACAAGATTATCTAGATTTTCTAGATTCTAGATCTAGAATCTAGATCTAGATTCTAGATATCTAATCTAGAATCTAGATCAGACTAGATCTAATCTAGATCTAGAAAGATATAGAATCTAGATCTAGATCTAGATCTAGATCTAGATCTAGATTATATCTAGATTCTAGATCTAGATTCTAGATCTAGCCTCTATTAATGTAAAAGTTCTCACCTGATTATCGAAAAACATATGTTGAGTAGTCTGGACACGTCCGTATAAATCTGAAGGGGACATGAAATTAGATCTCAGCCTGATTGTACCAATCCGAAGTAAATTTCACGGCACAATCAAATAATCAAGAAATGGTAATCCCAATTGCACATAAATCCTGCTGCACAACTGCAAAAATTCCGTGAGAAAGAATTCGAACTTTATCACAGCAGCCTTTGCGATAAATCCACGTCTTGAAATTCAAAGAAAACAGGAGCAAAACGCTCACCTGCACAGAATGACATTTGTTATTGGTCGGTGATTACTTTGTCGACGTAGTATAAAAGCGGGGTTTTTTTTTGGTTTTTTCCTTTCCCTCCCTTTCCTCCTCCAACAGTAGACAGTATAAATTCACCGTGCTCTGCGTAATAAACGAAGCTGCACTGTTCGTGCTTTCTTGTGCCGACTGGCGACTACCCCCCGTGAATGGGCTGGCGGATGGAGCACTGCGGTTTGGGCGCGTAGGAATATATGCTTCTGAATACATTACTGAATCGACCCAAAAGATGAATGAAAAGTGGGCAAGGCCTAGGCCTAAGCCAAGGCGCGGCGAGCTCATGGTGCAGTGTAGTGAGCCGGTGACGTAGGGATCATGGCGGGATTGGGGGCGTGAATCCAGTGTGTTGTTGTCGGCCTCAACCACAAAATTTCGCACCACCTCTACTTGAGCTTATTTAACCCTTCAGTTATATTTTTTGGGATGGGCTGTATATATTGTGAGCTTGTTGCCATTTTCTTCGCCATGCTGGACGTGAATATTCGTGTTAACACACCGTTTGTGTGAACTACTTTCTTTCACCAGCGCATAAAGTGCCCGCTTAGCATATTTCATATGAATGAGTGTCACGTGATCTGACAGCAACAATAATGGCGTATGAGTTTTGGAGACAGAGCACTTTTCCTTCATTCGACTCTAGGCTATTGTTAACACACTTCTCCCTACCACCTCCCCATCCGCCACACTAACGTCGCCCTTC